TTCTCCTGTCCGAGGATCCCATTGTGAGCTTGAATTTTCAATAGTGTTACTGTCAGAGTTTCGGGCGAGAAACGTAGGAAACGCGTGTCCGCGATCGGTTGATTAATCAATTTGCAGTCGCAGACGAAAAATCGGGATCGCGAGATTTAATAACGGGAACGTGTATAGCTTTTATTTCATTGCATATTGAGCCTAACGATTCTGCGGTTAATTAATTAGAAAGAATTAATTTGACAAAACTGTATATAGCGACTGTACATTTCATATGCATCTGCATTTAATATCTGTTAACCGACTTTTCCTTTCGAACATATAGGGGGACGCGTCTCGCATACATAAATTCTAGCATCAATCAGTGTGAATGGAGGGTGGAGACGACGCCCACGTGCCACACACACTCACACGCGCGCGCGCGCGCGCGCGCGATCGACTTTCATTCACGTGTCTACTACGCTCCTGCGAAGTCTTATACCGTAGCGTAATCACAAATGTGCCTAGACCACCCTAGACAGTATAGACGTCGTACGCACGTACGATATACATGTGTATATAAAAGCGCGTTCGATGGCTGGCTGTCGTCCAGGTGCGACTATTATATTGAGTGGCCGGCTATTATTAGTATACATATGTTCGCCGCGGGAGGATAGAATAGCGGAGAGCGTGGACAGCTCCAGTTTAAGCGCGTTTCCGTGCACCCGCCCGGTTAGGTGCATCCAACCGATCGCATATCACGATCACGCGTTCTGCCCGCAATACTCGCCTTTTTAAAGCCTCGATTAATAATAACCTCCTCCCACCGCACTCGCATCGTCGATGACGATACGTTAAACTGTCAATCGCGCGCTCTTTTTTGCCCTCCCCCTCCTCCTCCCTTCCGGATCGTCTCCCCGGTTTGACATAGCGACGCACAGCTCGCGCGCGCCTCGCCAGAAATAAAATTTATCGCAATCGATTTCTACTAATCTCTCCAATTCAGCGGAAACTCGCTCGCACACGGCTGCGCGCACTTCGGCGTGCACAACGCCGCGAAAAGTTATGGCTCTTATCTCTTATCGAAGTATGATGTATGGCCGGCCATATGTTGTGCGCCTCACGTTTATAATATAGTTTAACCATATAATACCACGAACGCGCGGCAAAAGCCCAGGAGAAACTCTGGGGCACAAAACTAATATTACATCGCTGTAACCGCCGCCGCTTAATCCTTTAACACCGTTCTCTCACTTCGTTATTTAATTGCGCGTAATGTCCGCCGGATATTCCGGATATTCGCCGCGTGATCGTTTATATACATATTGCAGGCAGAAAATTTAAATTTTCCAAAGTTACGGAGGTCGGCTGCGGATCCTCATCGCGCGACTCTCTCCCCCGCGCTGGGAAAATACGTGAAATCTTGCGCGAGTGACGCACGCATATGTACAGATCTGGCCATCGAAATGACACATTTCGCAGGAATATTTCCAGACACTTTATGCACGTTTAAACGCGTACAAACGCGCTTTTTCGCGCAGAAATCGCGGTGTGTATTCGCATGAGAGCGCGACATATTGGTTCTGATTGAACCGCGACTCGGTTCAACTGCTTTGCGCCGCGCCGCGCCGCACCGCGCCGCGTCGGGACAAGCACGGGGTAGATGAAAACGTGAATACAACAAAATGAAGGGAGAATCTAGGCTGGTGGAGTGCGGATTGGATGGACAAAAATAACAGCTAGGGCTTTCACTTTTGACATGTGTAGTCGGTAAATACACCCGTCGGGGACGGGCATACATGCATGAATCCACGCGAGCGCGCGCGCGCGCGCGATACTGTCTCACAATGGGAATGCAATTTCATTTAACGCTCAATTTAATAAGTTACGCCGATTGAAAAGCGCGGACAATAGCACGTCGACAAGGAAGAGAACGGCCATTATTAATTCGTCATTTTCAAAATCGACTGCTCTCTCTTTCTCTCTCTCTCTCTCTCCCTCTCAACAAAAAAAAAATACAGAAAGCCTCGCAGGAAAAAAAATTTTATTCGACATTCTCGACATACTTTTTTTTTTATGTGGAATCATCGTCCACCCGACCAGTTACGTCATGTAGAATCGAATTTGAAATATCCTGAATGTCTGAATTTGCTTTCCGCTCCATATTTTTTTCCATGATAGGAGACGGTACACGATAACGCAATTAAAGGAACAGCGCGCGGATAAAATAATAAAAGATCTCTCCGCACACATGTGGCGCACGCGCGCGCAACGGCGAGGGATACGATCGGCCGGCGGACAATATTTTACAGCCGATACTCGCAGGAATAACCGGTACTCGCGACTGTGACGTCATAAAAAAAATCGGCCGGGGCGATTTTGAGATTCGGGGCTGGCGACTGTAAGCGCGATTGCGAAGCTGTAATCAAGTCCGGATGGGTTGCACTGATTGACAATTTTCCGCCGGACCCCCTACTCCTGATCAACCTCCTCTCCGCGCGCGCGTTTGCCCGCCACTTCTGCGCTGCATGCGAATATCGTTTCTAAATCAGCCTGCAAACCGATGGCCGCGATAATTTACACGGCTCTCACGGGACAATTGGTAAATCCATAACCAATAACAGGAAGAAAAAATATGTATCTTTTCTTGAATTGAATTATATCATTGCAGATTGAAATTATTGTGCAGATAAATCTTTCCCTTCCCCGAAGAAGGGACGGGTGATAGCCGTTAATTGATGAGTTGGTTTCGCGATAGGGAGTATCGGCCGTGGCATTCGTATGCCGGATTAAAAAGTTGAGGTATCGGTGTGAATGATTATCAATTAGCGAGCGGATAGGTCGTTCGCACCGACAGGCGGCGGCGGGTCGGCAAATGGATCTGGTCTGGACGTGTCTTTTAAATAGAGTCAAGAACCGATTGCGAGAAAGAAAGAGAAAGAGAGACAAGAGAAAAAAGAGGCAGCGGGAAAAAGATGAATTATACCATTCGTAAATTGGAATATTTTCCACTGTTCGTCGCGCGAGCAACGACTTCGCCTTCCATTTGTTTGATCCTTTGTTCAGAGAGAGTTTCAAGTGCGATCGGAATGAATACGTCATCAATTGTCCTTTTAACGTGTGCAGAAATAGGGGAAATGGTACAAGATGTGTTCTTTAATTATTTAATTAATATACCTAGACGGAAAATATGTGTTATATTTAACATTTTTCATAAAATATTTATAACACAATTACATTATATTAAATTAACATACATTATATTAAATTAACATACGGATAGGTATGCTAAAAATTCAACATAAAAATTTAACAAACAATTTGATTGGACCGTTTTTAACACAAGTACGAAATGTCTTCTACCGTATACGCTTACGATTAATCTTTGAGTGGACAGTTATATATCGCGCGCCTGTAACATCTATCTCGTTTTCTTGCGTTCATTGTTTTACAAATTGACGACGACCCCGTTTCAGCCTCTCGAACTTTGCCATCTTAAGGCAGACGACGTGCGCATTCCGACGACAATGGCAAGCAACAATGGGCGGTCGGATTAAAATGCAAATTAGTCCATAAGTCAGGACATTATATAATTGTTAGTTGTGCGGGCTGGCGGTTATTGTCATGGCAATAAACTTTCAAGATTTAAGGTGTCAGCGAGCGGTATCCGAGTGGTATACGTTTGTACTTAAAAGATTACGTACATACATACTGATCCTCGGTATTGTAGACGTCCGTCGCGATCGAGTAGTCGCCTCTTTCGCGATCGCTCTCAATCAGTTGAGTTATACCGTAACTTATACCTATATTTCAAGTCGCGAAAGGAGCTTCAGTCAATCGAAAATATATATTATCCCAACTGTGCGGAAGTCGCAAGACAAATATTACACTGGATGTCTATATATATGTTATTTTTATGCTTATTTTCGTTTTGAGAATAAACGTGAACTTTAGGTTTCCTCGATTAATTCCGCGACACCGATATTCACAGCTAAATACTACATATAGACAATTTAAACGTTACCTCATACGGAAATACACGATGGAAACTTTAATATTCATTATTCTTTTTCTTTTTCGTGTGCCAGGAGAAAAAAAGCTTAGGGCCACCTGTCTCATTCGACTCGTGCGGGTCCATTACCATGCGTATTACCGCCCGCGAGTAATTAACATAAAAGCGATAACTTGAGAGCGCTTGTCGCCGATGGCGACAACCGGCGCTTTTGTTAAAGAAACGGTTTATAGTTAAAAAAAATAGCAAACAAAAATGTATTTGTAGAAATTATCAAAAAATTATCGCTGGTCGAACGTTTTATTTTTTTATACAAACACGGTTCGTATATATTTCTTGATATTACATTAAAGTATCAACTTTTTAAATATATGTAACTTCTTTAATTGCGCAAAAGCTTTTAACGCGATAAAGTTATACGATATTACAGAGCTGTGCGAAAAAGTACAATTAAAATAATGTTACATAATTCTTTAATTAATTATGTAACCGAATTCGTTATATCGTTGCAACGCATGCGGAAATAATCGATAATAACACTTTAGTAGAAAAATCGTTTTATTGAACGCAATCATTGCTTTCGTGTGGTCACGTCGTTACAGTGATGCTGCTGTCTGTATATGCATATCTAAATTTTACTTTCCAAGGAGATCAGAGGTCAGCGTGCCGATGTTCCAGTTTATATCGGCAGTTATGTGCTCTTGCCTTATGGTTCCCGAGTTAATCGTTTAAGGCTATAAGCACTCGCGTTTGTCAAGAAATACGCCCGTGCCTAATGTGCTATTAATTTTGCAGCGACGCGGTCTTCTGCATAATTGCGTCTTGAATTTCCACGGAAAATTACAAGTGCACTTTTTCGTTAAAATGTACATACGATTGTACATATCTTGATAACAATGTTCTATGATTTCATATAGATATGGAACAAATTTCTCTACTACAGCACTGTAATGACAAGCGAACATTATCGTATAATGTTTAACGAGCTTCAGTTTCGATTACACTTTGCTACTCGACAGATCAGACATCTCATACCGCGCTTTATCTCACTTTTCGACTTAGATATCGGACATGCGACCGTTGTACATCGTAATTGCATTGCGTACGTATATATACATCGATTTCAGAAGTTTACTTTCGAATAAATAATATTTTTTATCAATTTTCCACTCACAAATACACGTAAAGAGATTTCTCTCGAATATAATTATTGCATGCACGTAAGAATAATTGAATGGCGGTAACGCAATTTTCATGGAATTCCTGTACAAGAGGCAACTCATCGTGATGCTGTAATAATTACTGCATGTGCGCAGTGCCTATTTACGCGATGGGTTTCGAGGATGCAGACGCGTGCAATTGCGAGTACTGCGATGAGGAAAGAGTGATCGGTTTGGGAGAGGAGACGACTACTCAGGCCATGTATGAGGAGGACAGTGATAATGACGGTAATCGGACAATTTGCGCGAGGGATCGCGATTTTAACGATCGCACGTTCCAAAGCATCTGTTACATGCTGTGTTACAATCGTTGCACGAAATATCGAATGGTGGCAGTTAAAGAGAACGACGTGAAGAAGTATGTCGTAATTGCGTACAGACCGAGTAAGTATTTTGAAAAGTTACTGTAACTTTTCAAACAAACTTGCTATTGCTATCTAAATTTTTTTGGAGTGAAATTTTACACGAAAAATAGAGTGATTACCGAATCAATTAAGTTGAAGTGCCTTTTCATTTGTATGAATTTATGTATTCTGTGTCGTGGGTATTATCGTAATTAAAAAATAAATCTAATGTGCTCTATGATATCGTAACAGTTGGAAACAATGCATCTGTCAAGTAATAAAAAGATATATACGAGATCACACTGATCATCATATCGTCGTCGTGTCGACATTGTGTATTGTTAAGTCGATATTATATAGACACAGCTACAGAAATATCGATAACGCTTGTTCCAGAAGTAAATGTTAACAAGAATTTACTGAGTTTAAATATTTTTTATAGTGAAGAGATTCTTGATTCTCTCGCGAAAGTTATCTTGATTTCACTCATCTGAGTTTCATTCTAAATAAATGAAATATTCCACTCTTCACGGTTGGAGATAAAAATTCACTCTTATGAAAAGTGAAATGTCACTCCATATACCGAGCGACAGTATTTTCACTATCGAGTGGAATGAATTTTCACTTTTTTGAGTGAGATTTTACTTCAAAAAATTTAGAGTATATCGAGTGTATCGATTTTCTGTGTTTCTCGACAATTTTATATAATCTGTACAATTTAAAGATTGTAAATGTATTTATTATTATCTGATATTAAGCTATATATATATAAATTTTGAGAAATTATGTTGTTATTAATAACTATAATTTTTATGCAGATTATTATAAATTTAAAGACGGAGCGTGCTGAAATACAAGGGATTATTATATGCTTATGCGGATCGTAAATCGAAAAGCTCGACATGCAATGTACAATCTACAGAAATTTATGCAGTAATTTCGCAAAATTTCAAATTATTTATATTAATATATATATAAAATGTATAATCTAGTAATTTTGTCATCCAATTATCTTCAACGTTTATTTTCCCTTATAGAAAAATACTATTGGACTCGCGAAAAACCGATCAAAAATAATTAGAAAATCCAATATCAAATCCAATATTGTACATATTTATTTCTAATAGGTTTTTTCTCTAATCTAATAGTATTTTTTCACAAAAATCAAATGTACTGTCTCTGATGTAGATGTAACTTAAGACTTTAAATATATTTTTCGAAGTGCCCATTACAGTACACACAGCGAATGTTGTGCTTTCCTGTAATCAGGATTCCATTTGACGGCTTGAAATACGGTAAAGACACGAGGAAAAGCGTATAAAGAGCAGCACAGAGGTTACTATGATCAAGAAAGCTTTACTTTTAGCGCGAAGTCCTTCGATTGTACTTCACAGTATTTCTAATATGGATCTTAGATGTATAATATAGATAGTTTTTAATATTTAATATTTGAGGTAATCGGAAGCGCTAACCCGGTTAAGAATGTATCTGCACTTATATGATCCCTGCACAAAATAAATAATATTTATACCTTAAATAACTTATATTTACGAAAACATTATTCTGCTATTTGTAACTTAGGCCACTTTATTATTTGTAACGAAATTTTTATTAATAATATTTATATGCTATATATTTATTAATAATATTAATATTTATATATATTAATATATTTGTACGCATATATCTGATGTATACATGTGCGTGTCTGTCAGCATGTAGATTATTAAATTTTTCATATTTTTTTTAGTATTAGATCGCATACGTGAAATTATAAGTAAATTTTTGTCCCGAGTTTTAGTAATCTGCGTTTATGTGTTGGTGATTTCGAGTAAGTATAATTAATAAGTTAAAAAAGAATTTCACTTGTTCACAAGATATTTTATTGATTCGAGAATTTATTATATGTATTATTTACGCAGGTTTCGGACGGGAGCGCTGAACGGAGATTTGTCAGTGGCGCAATCGCGCGGACAGATATTTACCATTATTACTGGAAACTGCGCTGTATAAGAATTTAATTGCAGTCCGACGAAGTATCGGTTCGATAGTTGTAAATTTACGGCGTACTGCGGTTTCATTATTTCCACCGCGGTTTTCCGCTATTTCCTCGGTCCTCCGCCGGCCAGGCCGCGCGAATTATGTTAAGCGACGAACGCGATCCGAATCTCCATTTGCACTCCGACCTCCTTTTTGTCGCCGTCTGGCGGGTCTGGCAATCGGGAAGTCGCCATGCGTAAAAGATCAGGCGTAAGCGGAGCGCAAATAATACTCTCCAATTAAGGGGGAACCATGTGAGGGCCCGAGGGGTGAAATAAAGCGGGTCGGGGGAAGGGAGGAAGAGAGGAGTTGTCGGGCGTATTCCGTATGTCGGACGCCGCTCGAAATGTGCAGGAAGTTAACAGTCCGGCTTCGGTGTTGGCCCGATGCGGAGGAGGCGAAGCCAGGAGGTGGCAGGCTGCGGAGGAGAAGGAGAGACGACGCCGGAAGAGGAGAGACACGGCGGTGGCCCGCGGGACGAAGGAAAGGAATTAACCAGACGCGGAGTCCTCTCGCAAATTGAGTTGCACGAAGCCGGAATTTAAACATTCAAATTAACCTATTTAGCAAGTCAAAGAGGCTAATGTGTGCGCGCCGGTTCCGCATGCCCCGCAGATCCTAATATTCAATCGATATTGCCTTGTATCTTGCCCATCGACCGCAGGCTGGCCGTGGTTTTTTTCCTCATTCCCTCCCGCCCCCTCCCCTCCCCGGTTTATATCGATAGCTGTTCGATTCGCGGCCAGAAACGCGCCCCATGCATGCCCCCCCCCCCCTCTTCTGCCGCGGAAGCGGCTACATCAGAGATATGGAGTTTTTTTTTACCCTTTTTTCCTCCCTCTTTTTTTTATCAAATTGATGCAATATTCGTGAGGGTGAATAAGAAGCGGAGCGGGGAGATGGGTACAATATTTATTGCTCTCAGTCGCACGACAGCGCGCTGGGCTACTTTGTAATACCGGCTCGTCGCCGGTGATGTTTTCAAACGTTCCAATTAATTCTTCCCTCGAAGCGGGCATTGTTTTATGCGCGAGATAAACGCGAAAGATCGCGTACCGTGCCCGACAATCCGGTGTACGCGGTGTATGCGGTTGCAAACCGCGCGGCGCGTAAACAAAGGGTGTCGCGGCACGATGTTTCGACGCACGTTGTGCCCGGCTGGCATGACGTGCATGAAAAAAAATATCGTTCGGAAATCGATCCATCAGTGGGGTCCTCCGAGTATTTCCTGTATCGGGATCCTCGGCCACCGCACTCGTTACTCGGGTGAACCCTGCAGGTTGAACCGCGCCTTTGAGTACAATTATAACAAAAAAATTCTCTCCAAGGTAGAAAGAGGGTAGGAGGGTTATTTGCTAACAGTCATCTCCTAGCAAACAATCGTATCCCAAGAGAAGCAAAACAATAAATCGACGATAACGTCAAACATGACGTTAAAGTGAACGTGACTGACCGAAAAAAATGACTTTTAATAGTCATTTTGGAGTCCCTTTTGACGCCATTTTGACATCATGATGACTTTGTGTTTTGGAATACATATCGCCTCTCGCGCACACAATACCCGACTTCTCCGGGCGACTGGTCGTTGAATTCTGGATACTCCAGTAAAATTCAATAGCATTGTATCTCGCCATATATTATTGAGAAGCCAGCTTACAGTTTCGTAGTTTCGTTCGTCGTTAGCGTGATCGATTGCACGCGCGGTGGACGCTACCGTTTTTTGGAAAAGAATTTGGTCAACCAGCGTGAAATTAGCCATTAGAGTACGCTGTATACGGGCGCTGTACTGCGAAATCGCTGTATAGTATCGTTCAAACGGATTAGAAATTAATTATCTATTTGGATAATTAACATATCAATTTCTTTGTCCCGCGCGAAATATTCTTGAATTATGACAAAAGTATGAATAATTAATTCTCATTCCCAGCGCATTAATATAATCCGATAATTATTCGTAATTTTACTACATAATCGCGCACGATATATTCTCGTTTTTAGACACGAGTTTTTCATAATTTACATCCTCTTTAGACATACTCTCGTATTTTATACGAGAGAGCGAGAACCTCTTTCTCTCTCTCTCTCGGGGTAGGGAAAGGGTTTCCGATCCTTTCGCGCGCGAGAAAGGTTCAAAGTTCCTTTTTCCGTCGCTGAATTAAACAGTCCAGTACACCGGGTCCGTCTCGAGCGTTCGAGGATCGACAGAAGGAAGTCAGATGGCCCGATATATATGTTTATATGCACGCGCGTACGTACTCATACGTACGTACATTTATGCGCGACTGTGTATACGTTGGATTCTCAAAGCGGAAGCCCCACGTGATCGTTTCATAGAGAGCCAATAAAAGGTAGGTATAGGACGGAATCCAATAAAATCCTTACTCCCCGAATCACACGGATGCCTGCTTCACCTGATTTCGAGTAGCAGCTACAAATTTTCCATAGGACGGGCGCGTTCGTCGTCTTTGACAAATATAGAGAAACGCGGAGTTCACCCGAGAAGGGAGAGAGAGAGAGGGCGTAGAGGAGGAGGAGGAAGTGGAGGAAAGAGGGGGGCCGTGTCGGGAAAACACCATTATATACATCGCATATAGGTACAGCGATGCAGGATGGAAATATTCAAAGCTTCGCCCCCAAACCCTCGAGCTATATCCCGTTCATTTGTAACGCTCAAAAATTATTCCTGCGTTTCGCGTCGCGCGCGGCTCCAACGCGCTGCAATATCTCGCATCCCTGCTCCTCCGTTCTTTGTCCCCCCCGCAGACTTGCGCACGCTCGACCCGTCATCTCGCGTCATCCCGCGTCATTTTGCTAAAAAATGACAGCCGCTTACGGGGGTGGGGGGGAGGGGGCGAATGCACACGACGATCTAGTAGAGCAGTGCGCCGTGCAACGATAGATGCACGGCAGTGGAGAAGCGAGTTTTACATACGCCAAACGCAACCGCCGTCGTTCCTCGTCGGTCGTATTGTTCGGAAGGATTCGAGGGAACGCGGCCACACCAAGCTCGACTTGGTTGGCTTCACTTATTCTTACTTACCGGTTACCTCGCACGTCGCATTTCCACGTTCCACCCCCTTTAAGGAGGGTGACTGAACATTTGTCTGGCTTGCCCCGCGACTAACTACGCGCCGCGCCACTACGAGCGAAATCTGCCGCGGCGAAATCGTTTCTGACTGATGCCGAATGATCACTCAACCCACCCCCTCCCCTCCTCCTCTCCTTTCTTTCGTCCCATTGTTCCGCTATCGTCGCGTTGATACCGATAGTTCGCTCCCGAGACTTCGGTCCGATCCCATTTCTCGGAGCACGGACCGCGTTTAAGTCGGGCGATCGAAGAAAACGAGTAGTTTTTTTCCTTCATTTTCCAAATCCTTCTTTGATCGCGAAGGAATATCCTTTTAACGGACATATCTCCTGCAAAGATCTGCATTAAACATTCGACCGAGTTAATTAAATGTGCTTGCTAATTTATTTGAGTTCTTTGATAACTCTACTTTAATACATTTATATGCAGAATAACTAAAAGAATCATATTATCTAAAAAAAAATCTAACAATTCTATTTAAAAAAATGGCAATGACATTTGTGTGATCTTGAAAAATCGATATTTTTGGAAAATTGATTTTACTATCGTTAATTATCTTCCTTCGGACGACATAATTTGTATTCGTAATTTTTTCCTAAAATACTTTTGTTCATAATATTCAAGTGTCTCAATTTAAATGCCTCACACCCTGTATACGTATATATATTATTCTCACGAAAAATTTAATGAAAGAAAAACAAAGAAGAGCGCGCGGCGATATTTGCATAGAAAGTAAATTAATTTTCCGGCTGTGAAACGTCCTGTGCTATCGAGGAATATCCGGGAGGTTGCATAAGAGTTGCGCTGCATTATAAAAGTAGACCGAATAACCGTGCATCGACGATCGATCTGCCGGCCGGCGACATGTCGTAACGCTAAAACATTGCGCTACCTTTATTACGTCATTATGCAATCAGAAGCAATAAAGAGGCGCAACGATTTGTAGTCAGAAAATCGTCAGATTGCCAATCGCTCCGCGCCCCGCCGCGGAGCAAACTCCTGGCGGGACGGTGGAGAGGGGAGGGCGCGACGCTAATGCTTCTTTTCCATGAACCGGATAACCATGCGCGCGCTCGTAAAGGCGACTGATTGACGTGGCGGCTCGTAGGCACGAGAATCGCTCGTCCCGGCGACCTCCTACGAGGCCCCCGCGTGGAAGTATCGTAATGGAAACTTCGGGATCGCGTGCGTCAAAACGACTTTGTGCTACGGCGTTTCTCCGTCGTCGGCGACATGGTCACCGCGGCGTCTGCTCGCACGTTCTCGGAGACATTACCGTGAAATATTCGTGCGAAAGTCGATTTGTAGATTTCGATAAACGTCATCATTCAAACGGGCGGGCGAAATCGCGAGGAAAGAAAACCTTCGATTAAATTCGTTCTATGTACCTCTATACAGAGGGAAATTAT